GTTCAGATGAGTATTTAACTCAAGTTCTTAAAATCGCCAAAGCCTTAGTTTCTGACATTGATTGCGAGGGGTTAGACTTTGAAAATGTGGCTATACCCCGTGCACGATCCAAGAAAAAGCAATTTACGTATGAGAGTGTTGACGAACCAATTATTGGAGCCTCGTCAAAAATATAAAATTGAAGTATTTTTTTTACATTATGGATACAGCAATAAACTCTTTAGAATTAAGATTTCTGAGTACAGTAAACATTTTGCTTTTTTGTTTAACATACATAATATATGCCTTAAGAGAACTCCCAAAAGATGAATTGCTAGAACATTGTAAGAACCTCAAGGCTATTTTAACTTATGAGAACTCAAGCGATATAAATGCATTAGAACTTTGCAACGCCAAATAACACTGTTATCAAATACTTTAAATACATAACCAGTTATAGATTTCCTATCTTTATCTACAGCAAAACTAGCATCAGCATATCCAACTAGTGGTTCGGAATTAAAATTCTTATTATATTTTAAATTATAATTAATGGTACCCTTAATGTATCTTAAAATCCTTTTCAAGCATTGCCATAACCTTTCTGATGGTCTAGATTGATATCTTGCTAAATATGAAACAGCAGCACACAAATCAGGTCTTGAACCTACTACAGCATACATTAAAGAACCTATACAAGCCCTGCATTTATGCTCTAAAGAGTAATCAACCGTACAATCATCAAGATTAACATTAACTTCCATGGGTGATTCACTAGCATTTGCTGCAGACATACCAAACTTTGTCAATATAGATTTTAAATACTCTTTCTGGTTAATATACAAACAGTCACTATCTTGAATAATATTAATAACCAGATACTTTAAATTTTTAGATCCTAGATCTTTCATTTTAAATTCTGTGCTTAAAATTTCTTTAACATTATTTATCCATATGAATTGTCCTCACCTAAAATTAATAAATCATCCACATACAACAAAATGTAAATACCATCCTTAAAATATAAACAATAATCACTTTCTGCTCTTTGAAACCCTTTACTTTTCATAAAATCATAAAATTTACTGTACCAATTTTTTGAAGATTTTTTAAGACCGTAAAGTGATTTTTTTTAATTTCAAGACATAATTTGTATTTATATTTACACCAGGTGGGGGCTTTAAGTATACAACATCATCAATTTCACCATGAAGGAAAGCACCTTTAACATCCATTTGATGAATTAAATAGTTCCTTTGAACAGCTAATGATAAAAGTACTCGGAGTGTTTGTAATTTCAAAACGGGAGAATATATTTCGGTAAAACTACCTTCCTGTTGAAACCCCCTTGCAACTAATCTAGCTTTATATACATTACCCGCCTTTTTTGTAAAAATCCATTTACAATTAATTAACTTAGCATCGTTTGTTCTTTCTACAACTTCCCAAGTCTTGTTATCCTCTAAAGATTTAATTTCTTCATTTACCGCTTACACATGTTATTTTATACAATATAATATTTTTATTTTTTCCTTAAAATTTTCATTTACATCAGGTGATAACCCTAACAGAATAGGTATATATTTTCGACGTTGTTAGAAAACTTCTCGTCTGGTCTTCTTTACTCTGTGCTTTTGACCCTTTATTATTTGAATGACTGATGAAGAGCTATCGTATAGTCTTTGATTTATAAGAAAGTGACCATATTAACAGGATGACCATATTACTCTCACGTACTCTATAGCTTGTTTAGCAAGTTTATCAGTATATTCGTTACCAGATATAGCAACATGATTAGGAATCCAAACAAGACAAATGTTGATGTTTTGAAATTGGTATAAGAATTGAAGTTTCTTAATTTCAAATATCAAAGAATTGCGCGAAATGTCATAGAAAGGATTGCATATATGCCTGTAAAGTACTAAGAGGATCTGAAAATATCACGCTTGATTTTAATTTAAAACTATAGCAATATTTAATTGCTTGTAAAATGGCTAACATTTTTCCTGTTAAAACTGAAGATTCGAGAGAACTTTTCATTTTTTGAACTATTCTCCAATTTTGATGGAATATTGCGTCGCCAGTGCAACCTTTAGAGTTAATTTTAGAAACGTCTGTAAAATTATAATGATAACCTGGAAAATTCTTATCCAACGCAAATACAATTTTTTTATTTGGTTCAATAGAAAATTTATTTAATCCTATATCTAATATAACATTGGGTTTGAAAAGTGCACCATCAAACGAATTGGAAAAAAGAGGCAGAGTCACCGACCTATAAATAGAATCTAGTAAGGAATTATATTGTTCATAGCTTTTTCCTAGGTTTCTTTATTACGCCAGTATTTTCCTAAATTAATTAAAATGTAATGAGAAAGTAAACGAATTTTAGGGATTAGTGGATGATTGGAAAATTGATGAACCCAAAAAAAAACATCTGATAAATATTGTCGTCTAATAAAAAGTGGAGGATCACCGCATTCAATCTACAAGACATTGATAGGCGATGAATTCATAGCGCCTATACTTAATCTCAAAGACTTGTGTTGAACGATATCTAAAATTTTCCATCCTTTTTTATTAGCAGGTTCAAGAAGAAATGAGGCATAATCTAATCAACTTCTTATAATTGCATTATAAATAAGTTTTAAAGAATATGGATGGGCATCCCGCCATACCCCGCACAAAGCTCTTAGAATGTTTATATTTTTTTTACGAAATTTTTTTTGGGTATAATTGATATGAAGCATACCGGATAATTAATTATCAAGAATTACACCAAGGAATTTAACTTGATTAATATTTTCGAGCGGATAATTAAAAAGGCGAACCTGTATTTCGGGTAAAACTCTTTTGAAAATTCTAGTCCATGATCATCTAGCTACGTGGCCATAGAGAGGAGATCTTGTTCTATCGCATTAGCACAGGATTCTATACATTTATCATTTACATAAACTAAGATATCATCGGCATATTGCAAAACATCTACACTTTGAAATGGACTAGTCTAAATCTGACGTATAAATATTCTATAATAAAGGACTTAAAACGGAATCTTGCGGAAGGCCTTTGAAAACATTTCGAGTATATTTTAAATCATCACCAATTTTAATATGTATATCCCGATCTAGAAATAAATTGATAATTAAAATTGTAAGTTTTTTGGATATATTAAGCTTAAACATCTCTTCTCTAAGGATGTTAAGTCTGACATTAATAAACTGCCGTATCTATCACAATTATCACCCCATAAATAATGATGGCAATTAAAGTCACCAAGAATTAAAAACGGTTTGGGGAAGGAGGCTATTAAAGATTTTATTCTGCGAAACGTATGGACAGAAGGGGAGGGAACATAAATAGAATCGAAAGTAATATTTAGAATTCTTACTGCTACAATATTAAAGTCAAACATTTCATCATAAATACCTACAATGGTATAAGCGATATTGTTCTTTATAAGCAAAGCACATCCTGCAAAACCATCAGATCTGTCATATCGAACACAACAAAAACCAGGGATTCTGATATTGGAATCCGGTTTCAGCCATGTCTCTGAAATAGCAGCGATACAAACACTGTATTTTTTTAATAAATAGATTATTTCAGTACGTTTATCTAAAATCCTTCTACAATTCCATTGAAGGATCTTTGTGAGAGTGAATGTCATAAATTTCAGGTATAGAATTTAGTAAGCGAGGAACGTGGGACGGTAACTTTAACGAATACGAAGATATGATTATGTTAATAAGGGAATTAATAATGCTTTCTATAGAATTAAAACTACCCTGTGAAGTGTCAGGTGAAACCCGAAGAGCACAACCACCCTCTGGTTGTGGAATTTAAAAAACTTCAATAATTTTTTGATGAATTTTTTTGTCGTATCCTATTTGTGTGTGTTGACGGAATGATTTAGAAATAAATAATGATTTCTTATAAGAAGTTTTATTAGATGGAGCAGCGTGTGAAAGAAAATGATCCTTTGTAGGATTAGTAGAAAGCGAAGAATTTAAGGGGTTTTTTGAGATCAGAACATCAGCATATGATTTTGATGAAACCTGGGGATATTTTGGTGATACTTCTAGGTATGAGATTGAATTTTGTGCCATTTCGATTTTAATATTATTTTGTCGTGTGTGTTCAGGGCACCTAGAATCCATAACTATATATAGGCCTCCATTAACTATATTTTGAATATTTCATTTTTTCAAAAAGTGACCAAATGAAATAGCATTTAAAGTCTTACCAGAATTAGGAGAATCTTCTTTTACTTGAACAAGGACAATAAAAGGACCTGAATCTGTAGAATTATAAGGGCGAAGAGATTGAAATATTTGTAAATCTATTTTTGCATTATCGCTATTTATATGTGTGTTAAGAGATTTAGAAGAGATATAACTATAGGCAGAATTTAATTTTTTTATTACTCTTATCACTACTACTTTACTGCAGTACCCTTCTTACTCGTGCCTAAATTATTTATATATATATTTTTTTTTTTTTGGAATTTGAGTTATTCCGCTCTGTAGGCTGTCTACTTATACTTATCACTAATACTCTTTTGTTACATTACTTTTACTAATACTCATATTACTAATTCACATAAGAATATTCACTAGTAACATTCTATTTCTACATTACTCATATCTTATTTACTATTTCTTATTTACGACATAAGCTTAATATTCAAACAATATAAATAATTTGCAAACTTATTATTATCATAGGATGCATCTTTACAATAAATTTGAATTTTTTTATGATAATAATAAATAAGTATATATATTATCCCGCTTTTTTCTCCCTTTTTCCCTTATTGCATTTTCTTTCTTTTTTTTCCCTTCCATGCTACCTTGTGTATTTTTTTCCTCTTTTTTTTCCATTTTTTTTCCTTTCCTGTTTTATTATTTGCATTTTTTTTTTTTTTATAATTCTACTTATAACACACACATATTCTAATTTATTTATTACACATACATTATTTATTACTATCTATATTATACAATACATTATTTCTACATTTAATCTATATGTTTACTTCCATTTTCCTTGCTTATAATTCTCAATACTCTAAGTGCAAATTTCATGAATATAGTTCGGCAATTGTTGTCCTGCATTATTATACTTAAATTATCTTTTTTGATTGTCACTCCCATGCTGCATTCGGATTCAAAACTGGTTTTGCTAAAGCGAGGGCAGTCAATTAGTAAATGCTCTACGGTTTGTTCTAAGTTTTCATCACAAATGCAGCCTGGGGATGACGAGAGCTTATACTTGTATAAATACGCTTTGTTTACACCATGACCGGTGAACAATTGGGTAGTTAAATGTGTCTTTTTTATATTTTTTATTATTTTATATGCTATCAGTATGTCGGGGAAAAAGATCTTCGTTAGATTACTGATAGGAGATGCTTCATATCTCTTTTGCCAGACTTGCAGAGAGCAGGGACTCCACTTTGCAAGTCGTTTTGCATAGGACAATGGGACTCTGTCATATGCTGGTCTTTGTTTGTTTTTAAGAGCAGCTCGCTTGACTAATACATCCGCCTTCTCATTGCCTTGAATTCCATTGTGTGTATTTATCCAGTATAGCATTATTTTTGCTTTGTTGTGTTCCATAGACATTATTTTTCCTCGGATTTCAGCAGCGATGGGATTCAGGGAAGATGGATCACAAATAGTTTGAATTGCTGATCTTGAGTCACTCAGTATGTTAAAAAGTGCTTTGTAGTTTTTGTCAGCTACATATTTTACGGCTTTCAGAATTGCCATCATTTCCGCCTGAAGTAGTGTCTACCATAGTTTTCCAGTCTGAAGGTTATTGTTTTCGTTTCAGCTCCGTTATGCCAGAATGATACAGCAGCACTTACTTTAACCTAAATTTTGTTGCCGTCGGTGAATATTTTGGCCAGTTGTTACTAATTTTGTCGATCTCGGTCTGGTTGCTTATGAGTTCGAATTTTCGCTCTGTTCTATCAGAGGGATGAGGAAGGTTGTAAGGACTCACTCTTTTTTCCAATTGCCTATCTGAGAGGTGTTCAATAGGTTTGCCTCGCTAAAATTTCATAAATACTAGCATTGTCTTTTGCCCTTAATGCTAACGGTATTATTTGCGATAATAGTGTGCTAGAAATTAGAGAATTCGTTCTGTGCCCTTTGCAGATTCGTATACCGAAAATTTGGGTCATCCTGTTAAGCATACGCTCAATATATTTTTTTTTCCGTCGTATCTGCCCAACAGCTAGAAGCGTAAATTATAGTCGGCTCAACTACGGTCGTTATTAACGTTCAGTTGCCAGTCATTCTACGTGGTAGAGCCATGCTGCAGCTATATTATGGTTGTAGCACGAATGGGTCGGCTCGACCGGGGAAGGACCACGCTCTCACAGAAAACCAGCGTAAAATAGCAGCTTAACGCTGCTGTGTTTTGTATGGTGAGTGTAGAGAACCGGAGACCCTTTTTACTGGCAAAGAGGCATTCCATCTTAGTCCTCACGGGTGACAACGCATCTGCACCTTGAGTCTTTATTGAGGATAGATGTAGATGTCTATGGGTCACAGTAACCACTTACCATCAGGTGGACTGTGTGCTCGTTTGTCATCCGATCCTATAAAAAAAAAATAAGTCCTTCAAAATATTAATCTGTCAAGGTGTCAAGTCCTGACGGTCCACATCGGTCATCATCTATTAAATACATTTTAAAGTACATGTATTTCCATGATTTTAATCAATTTCAGAAAATATGTTAATTACGTTGACAAATAAATGTCATTTTTTCCTTCATTTAAATTCATGGCTTCTCTTGATAGAATTCCGCTAATCTTCTTTATATATAAAAATTCCGTGTCAGGTTGTTTGTCCGCGATGAACTCATAAACTATTGAACTGATTTCAATGAAATTTTGTACACTGTGTGCAGTTTGGTACAACTTGAGAGATAGGATACTTTTTATCCCGATAAGATCCCGATATTTTTTTATTGCGAATTTAAGGTTTTTTTCAAGGGCAGAACAACGTCTGCATGGTGAGCTAGTCTTTATATATAAAAATTACGTGTCACACATTGTTTGTCCACAATGAATTTCGAAACCACTCAACCGATTTTAATGAAATTTTGTAAATGTGTATTGCTTGCGCCAAATAGAGAGATAGGATAGTTTTTATCCCGCTAAGTACCTCTCAAATTTTTTTTATTGTGAATTTACGGATTTTTTATAGGAAGAGTCGTCGAAAAGGGCAGAACAACGTCTGCCTGGCCAGCTAGTATTTAATAATTTAATTTTAATAATTTAATTGGTCGATTAATTGTGCAATCCTCAAAGTAATATGCATATAATTACTGTAAGGTGCAAACAAAAAAAAACAGAATTAAATTTTTCTGTTTTCTTTTTAAAATGGCAATCTGAAGCAACGCAAAGAAAAAAAATAGCGATATTTATTTTTCGATAAGCCGTGTAGTGGCGGTCAAGAATATCCACTACCCCATATCCTCCCGTGGGTGTCGTAAAAGGCGACAAAGGGAAACAGGCAGGAGATGGGCAGCAGCATCTTCTTGATAACAACAAACTAACAATAAAAAACTGCAGTTGCCAACCCGCTCGCCAAGCGTGGCAACTATGGCAAATACCCCCCTATGAATGACAGTAACAAAAAAACGGCCCCCAGTCCCCGGCGGCCCCGCTATTCCTGGCTACGGTGGCGACCATGGTAACGGCGGGGCAGGGGGTGCTAAGAATCTCCGGTGGAGGTTCGGTTGCCACCTTAGACGACTCGACCTGGCAACGTACAACGCACGCACCCTGAGGACTGACGAGAAGATTGTGGAGCTGGAAGAAGAGATAGACAAGTTGCGCTGGCATATTATAGGATTATCCGAAGTCCGGCAACTTGCTCTATCACCGGGAGGGTGACCATCTGTCCCAAGGAGGTGTCGGATTTATCGTCCACAAGTCTCTCGTTAACAACGTTGTAAAGATCGGGAGTGTGTCGACGAGGGTTGCGTACCTTATACTCAGAATCACCAAACGGTATTCGCTGAAGGTCATACAGGTTTACGCACCAACCTCGGCACACCCCGATGAGGAGGTGGAGGAAATGTATGAGGATATCTCTAGAGCCATGCATTCCTCCAAAACCCAATATACGGTGTTAATGGGAGACTTCAACGCAAAACTAGGCACAAGAGAGAACGTTGAGCTGAAAGTAGGGAAATTTGGAATAGGGCAACGGAACCCAAGGGGTCAGCAGCTGGCCGACTTCATGGAGAAAGAGGGACTCTTTATGATGAACTCTTTCTTCCAGAAGCGGCCCCACAGGAAGTGGACCTGGTCGAGCCCCGACGGTTCGACAAAAAATGAGATTGACTTCATTATGACAACCAGACGACAACTGTTCAGTGATGTCTCCGTGATCGCGAGGGTGAAAACTGGTAGCGATCACCGAATAGTTAGAGGCACACTGAACCTAAACGTTAAGTTGGAGAGGTCTCGTCTAATGAAGTCAACGCTCCGTCCCCCTCGTGCTTTGTTCCAAAGTCCCGAAACCTGTCAGCTCGAGTTACAAAACCGTTTTCAGTGCCTAGAAGACTGCAATGAAGTGGACGATATGAATGACAAGCTCGTGGAAACTGTCCATGCGGTCGGAGCTAAGTTCTGCAAGACCCGCCGCAGAAGAACACAAAAACTCTCCGATCACACTCTTAATCTCATGGCTGTTAAACGGGAGATGAAGCTACATTCTTCAACAGACTTGACAGCATACAGGCATCTGAACAGACAGATCTCCAAATGCATGCGGCGGGATTTACGCAACTTCAATACAGCTCGTATTGAAGAAGCGATCGAGCGGAACCAAGGCTCCAAAGTCTTTGCCAGAAAGAGCCAACTGTCAAAGCTGAAGACGGAATGTGGCAGCATCGTTTCCGGGACACCTGAGATTTAGAGTGAGATTGAGAGGTTCTATGGGCAGTTGTACACGTCATCGTTGGAGCCACACGCAAGTGTGAGTAACGATCCAAGAGCGAGTCTCATCCGACACTATTCCGAAGATATCCCGGACGTCAGTCTGAGCGAGATTAGAATGGCTCTCCAGCACCTTAAAAACGGTAAGGTCCCAGGCGAGGATGGAATTACAGCGGAGCTTCTGAAAGCGGGTGGAAAACCGGTACTTGAAGTCCTTCAGAAGCTCTTTAATTCCGTCCTCCATGGTGGCATTACACCGGAGGCGTGGAGCAGAAGTGCGGTGGTCTTGTTCTTCAAGAAAGGTGACAACGCTCTCTTGAAGAACTACAGACCGATTTCCCTTCTGAGCCGCGTCTACGTGCTGTTTTCGAGAGTCATTACGAATCGTCTCGCGCGCAGACTTGACGACTTCCAGCCTCCCGAACAAGCCGGTTTCCGAAAGGGCTTTAGCACCATAGACCACATACATACCCTTCGGCAAATTGTACAGAAGTTCGAAGAGTACAATTTGCCACTATGTCTGGCGTATGTGGACTATGAGAAAGCCTTTGATTCTGTCGAAATTTGGGCGGTGCTGCAGTCCCTTCAGCGGTACCAAGTTGACTGTCGGTATATCGAAGTGTTGAAGTGCTTGTACAGTAGGGCTACGATGGCTATCCGAGTACAGAACCAGAGTACGAAACCTATCCAATTGCAGAGAGGTGTAAGACAGGGTGACGTCATATCCCCGAAACTCTTCACCGCTGCATTGGAGGACGTTTTCAAGCTTCTGGACTGGAAAGGATACGGTATCAACATCAATGGCGAGTACATCACTCACCTTCGATTTGCCGACGATATAGTCCTTATGGCAGAATCGCTGGAGGACCTAAGCACTATGCTCAATGACCTCAATAGTGTTTCCCAACGGATAGGTCTTAAGATGAACATGGACAAAACAAAGATCATGTTTAATGTCCATGTCACACCTATGCCGGTAGTTGTTGGGAACACTAAGCTCGAAGTTGTTGACGAGTATGTTTACCTGGGACAAATAGTCCGACTAGGTAAGTCCAACTTCGACCGAGAGGTCAATCGACGGATTCAACTCGGCTGGGCAGCGTTCGGGAAGCTACGACACATCTTCTCGTCAGACCTCAAAACCTTTAAACGAAATTGTACAACCAGTGCGTGTTGCCAGTGATGACTTACGGAACTGAGACGTGGTCCTTCACTGCTGGCCTGATGAGAAAGCTCAAGGTCGCTCAGCGAGCTATGGAGAGGGCTATGCTCGGAGTTTCTCTGTGTGATAAACTTAGGAATGAGGATATCCGCAGTAGAACCAGAGTAACCGACATAGCCCAACGGATTAGTAAGCTGAAGTGGCAGTGGGCCGGCCATATAGCTCGAAGAACCGACAACCGATGGGGAAGAAAGGTTCTCGAGTGGCGGCCTCGTACCGGTAGGCGAAGTGTAGGGCGTCCGCCCATGAGATGGAGTGACGACCTGGTAAGACATGCAGAAAGTCGATGGATGCAGGTGGCTCAGGACCGTGCTTTGTGGCATTCTTTGGGGGAGGCCTATGTTCAGCAGTGGACTTGTGAAGGGCTGTAATGATGATGATGATGATTTATTTCTCGCTTTATTTTTACAAGCCCAACACAACATTGACAAAATCATGATTGTGTGCAGATCTCTCAGCTTTCAATCTTTCTACATAGTTGGAAAGGGAAAGTTAATTTGTTAGAAAAATTATGAGGGTTAATGTTTCTGAGGGTAAATATTATTTATAAATAAATTAATTAAATTGTGGATATTCTTACAAGATGAAA